TGCAGTCGTCCTCCAGTTGGTGTAGAAGACATCACAATTATGTTTAATATTCTGATGGCCCAGGGATGGTTCGTGCTAGCCGTCCTCCTGAATGCTGTGCTGGCGCAGGTCGCCTTGGGTATCCTTGTGAACATCCACATCATCTTCACCGTAGCTGTCATATCTGCCGAGGTGGGAACAGTTAAAGAAAAGAGAAAAAAAGAAAAAAAGAAAACAAGATAGAAAAAGAAAAAAAGAGAGAAAAAGAAAAAAAGAGAGAAAAGAAAAAAAGAGAGAAAAAGAAAAAAAGAAAATAAGGAAAAAGAAAAAATATGTTGATCTGTGGGATGTGTTATTTGCTTTGTGACAATTGGATTATCTGTGGGGAGGGATGTGTTATTTGCTTTGTTTCCCTGTCAGATTTGGTTCCCTCCTCTTACCTCTTTTTTGCCTTTTGGCTGCGTACAAGTGGGTCCTTGTGACACACGGGGATGGGGGCACAGCCAGCGCTCAACCTGTCATCCACGTGGCTGGCCTTGTACGTAAGAGGTGATGAACAGGTGGGGCTTTCCTTCCTTCTTTGCCTTTCCTTGTTTTGCTTTTTTCCGCCTTCGCGCTCCGATTCACAGTGTGACAACATATATATACCATACTTGTGGCGCATCACGATGCGCTGCACTGCGCACGTGCACCGCACAGCGCATCCCGCACGATGCGCGCGCACTGCATGCGGCGCACCTAAAAAAATGGGGGTCAAAAAAAAAGAAAAAAAGTTGTGAGGGGCGGTAGTAGACCCGGCCCCCTGGTCGCGTAAAATAAGAAACGGGCAGCCAAATTTTTTTTGGAGGCCGCGCATTGACCTGAAAGTTTTTAGTAACCTGTAGTTCGGGTAACACTCTGTGTGTGTGGTAGGGTATTTCAGTCTGTATGGTAGGGTTCTTGCAGGCCAGATTCAGTCATGATGAGGGTCGCGATTTCTCAAAACGTTCTCTTCTTATTACTTCGGAGGCAGAAAACGACTGAACTGACAGCAGTTTTTCCTGGAATGTTTTTTTTTTTTTTTTTTAAAGGAAGAAAAACAGAATTTCTTTGCACGAGTGTCGCCCGGCACGTCCAACCTGTCAGAACCTCAACGGTGATTGCAGTCTGTATGGTAGGGTTCTTGCAGGCCAGATTCAGTCATGATGAGGGTCGCGATCTCTCAAAACGTTCTCTTCGTATTACTTCTGAAGTAGAAAACGACGGAACTGGCAGCCGTTTTTCCTGGATTTTTTTTTTTTTTAATAAAAGGAAAAAAACGTAAAGGAAGAACAGCTCTTTGCACGAGTGAAGCCCGGCGCGTCCAACCTGTCAGAACCTCAACCGTAATGTTTACCAACGCGCTCGCTGCACTACTCTGGACATGCACAACAAGACATATATGGCAATGTATCTTTCCATGTTCAAGCTTAGGATTCAGTCTCATTTGTTCAGAGATTCTCCAAAAAAAAAAACAAGAAAGGTTCCAGAGATACGTTACGTGCTTACGTGATTCATCGGCCCTTCGCTCYCCMCCMCCCAACGTATGAATGAATCTTCCGCCAGAACATGGAAAGATACACCGCCATATTKTTTGTCCTTTGTACATGTCGCMCCGCTTCCAGATTCATGTTGCCCGTTGACAAGGGCGGTTTCTTCGGTCCGATAGTGTCAGCACACGGTTCTTCTCTCTCTCTCTCTCTCTCTCTCTCTCTCTCTCTCTCACACACACACACACACACACACACACACACACCGAAAATAGGCATCGCGCACAGTGCGCACCTTGCACTGGTAGCATGAGGAGTAGCGCGTCCTCATGCGCTGCGCGCGCAGCGGCGCACCTCGTGCGCATGCGTGCGCACATGTGCACCTCGTGCGCGTGCGCGCGCGGTGTCACCACGCGCATGCCGCACGGCGCAGCGCACCGCATCGCGCACCGCACTAATGCGCCGCAAACATGATATATACTCTTGTTCGAATCAAAAATCCAATGAGAAGGAAAAAAATCACAAAAACTGTGTTGTTGAATGTTCACTGTCCCATCTCAATTCTGGATCCTGACGTTCTCACTGTGTGCACCTGGCGCTATGTGTGTGGGTGTGTGTGTGTGTGTGTGTGTGTGTGTGTGTGTGTGTGTGTGTGTGTGTGTG